TATGATAATATGGTCACTGAAAGGTCATTTCAGAACCAGTAAGAGTCTCTGAGTAAGACATACAATTTTCTTTTATTCCTGGCCAGAACACTGGTAGTGACAAGCACTCACTAGTAAAAACTTGCCAAACTACAGTCGTTTTAAATAATGTATCAGAATAAATATACAGCAATTATTTTACATAAAAAAACAAAGAAATTCCTCTCTACAAATGAAGTATCCCTATGCAAAAGGAGAGACATGACTTCTGTTTGTCATCTGTCCTTTTACCACCTGTGGAGCTTTAAGCAAGTTAAGTATTTCTACAAGTCTCAGTGTCCTCCAACATATAAAATGATGATGATACTATCTACTCACAGAAAGAACAAATGGAAGTGTTTGTCACATCAAATAAATGTAAGCAGTTTTCTTTCTCTCTCATCTTGACTTAATGAGAAAATACTTCCACCTGTTAATGATTTCCAACACAAATCAGAAATATGTTCCTCCTGTTATTATTCAGCATATGGCCATCAAAATGTGTATAAACATTTTCTCTAAACACATGGATTACATATAAATGCAATTAATTTTCACTGTAAATTTAGAAAAAATTCAACTACATTATTCTAAGCAAAAATATTAATGGGTAAATTAAATGGAATTTTACCAAATATATTTATACACATAAAAATTTCTAGCCTTTTTTTTTTCAGTATGAGGGAACTTACTGATGAATTCTATTGCATCTTTCAGAAAATCAAGACAGGGTTCCCAGGTTCTACTCCATAATTTGCTCTCCATTTAAATTTATGGATGGCCAAAGAAATAACTCTTGAAGTTTTGACCCCAGCTGAGGAATCTCCAAGGACAGTCCAGAAGACATTTATCCTAAACACTAACTGAAGTTCTCCCACTGCCATCTCTGTGAGTAGGAATGGATGTTTTCCATCCATTCTAAATCAACACGTTTATTTTCCAGGATTCAGTCTCAGAAAGATAGCAGGATAATGTAAAACAAACAAAAAGCTTTTTAAATGTAGGGAAGAATGACAAAAACACAAAGTCATTTTTCCACAATGCAAGTCTCATATTTAACATAAGTCTAACAAAATAAAGGAACAACCAAAAAATCTCCAATATGTTCTTGAAAATTTAAAATCTGTGAGAACAAGCAAAACTACTAAGAGTTAGCAGAGGCTGTGTTAAGTGTATGCCTTCTGTAGATCACAATTTAATAATACAAAGGGTGATAACAAAATTATATTTATATAAACTTGCTAAATGTATTACTAGCTATTGATACATTCAGAAATCACCTATTACTTAAATTTTATGTAATATTGTTCTCAAAATTATGATGTAGTGAAACTGTTTTCATTGCCAATAATGTGAACGTTTATGTTGCCACAGTCAATTATTAAAGAAAAACTTGATAAATCAAAGAATCATACTGAGTTATAAAAATTGAGATCTTTAAAAGCATCTGTGCAAGTCATTGGAAGTAGCAGATAATAATAAGAGAATAAGAATAATAACTTCTGATCAGTGAGAATATTTTTTAAAAATAAGTTTTTATTTACTTTCTGGAGATCCATACACAGATTGAAGAATAAAATTCATCATTATCTCAGTTTTTCAAAGCACAACATACAGTTTTCTTACTGGCAATGTGATAAAAGAAGTAAAAAAAATATTTTTCTAAAAAGTCACAAATAATCATCACTTAAAAATATAACTTTTCAGTTAGGAAAATAAATTGTAATTAAAATATTTTCCTCAAATTGCTTCTTATTATGTAAACAATTCTAGATATCCACTTCTCTTCTACCTCCATAACAGAAGTTTTTCAAGGACTTGAAATGTAAAGTTTTATTTGATTTGATGCACTACTTAATTTGCTGTTGACAGTATCAGTAAATAGTTAAACAAAGCCTGACCACACTTTTACTAGGGTGGAAAGCTTTCAAAAATACAACAGTTATATATTTCTTACTGGCATTTCCATATACTTATCACTGGCTTCTTAAAAAAATTTACTTAAGAAATAGTTATCCAAATAATATTAATACATGTTTAACTAGGAAAATAAACTTTCAGGATATAAAATAATTTTTCTATTTCACTGTTTTTATATTCTGAAATTATCATTTGTTTGTATAAACATAATAGATTTTTTTGACCACTAGCCTTTTATAAGAATAAGAGAAAATAAACTAGCTATCATTTTTAAAGGGTAATATATTTGTTATAGTTAAGAATATGAAAGAGTGTTTTTATAAATGTATGTTTGGAACTTTTCCCCCTTCTATATGACACCACCAAAGTGGGGCTACTTGATCAGGTTGCTACTTGATTGCTTATGACCGTGAGAGAATAAATTTTTAAAAACTTGTGTTTATCTTAATGATGAACATTTATTCATTTAAATATTTTCAAACAGACCACAAACTCAAGATAAAATTTCAACTAGGATTTTCTTTCTTTATATCAAGATTCAGACAGAAACTGCAAAATTCATTCAGTAATCCAAGATTTTTAACAATACCTATATTTTACCGTCCCTTAGAAAAGCTCTAGGAAATGTAACAGGTTGATTTAAGTTTGTGATGATTTCTTTGTCATAATCTTTTTTAGACAGTAAAATATTTGAATTCAATTAATGGTCCAATAGCCAATTTAATTTATGTGTTTTCTTTCCCTCACTCCCTCACCTTCACTTCAGAAACCCTATCTCCCTACAAAATAGAAACGTATTTTCTCTCTCTCTTATTTCTTTCTCTCTTTCTATTTGAGTAAGCAGTTGAAAAAATACTCAGGATGAAGTTGATTGAAATCACAATGTGTTGCGTGGTCAATGAAGAACAGTATGTTTTTCCATGAGAAACCAGTAGGCGGTGCTAACTCTAAGATACAATCTTAAACAATTTGAAACCAAGAAACTCACAGAACAGGTGGCCAGTTTAAAGAGTTGTAGAATTCCCAGTATGATTCATGGACAAGGAAATGTGAAAACTTTGAATATATGTATATAATATAATGAAAAATGAATATTAAATAAATGAAAACATAAGCTGACTAAAGGTTCTTAGCCTAATCTTTATTTACAGAATTTAAAGCACAACTATCTCTCTGTCTCCACAGTAAAATCTTATGAGTAGCTTTTTTGGTCCCATTCTAGTTTCAGTCTAGTTTGTAAATAGTACAATCTAGTACAGCTAGTGCTTTGTCCATCTTAAGACACAAACTATCCTGACCTTAGAACAGCAACTGGTTCTCTTAATGAAAATTCAGGTTTAATCACTCCAGTTATTTCTTCCGTGTTTTCTCTCTCTCTTTTAAAGGAACTAAATGACTTACAATGCATATAATCTACAAAAATATATTATACACATATATTGTCTTGTATTTTTAAATAAATAAACATTTCTACCTATATACATTATGATTAAAATCATTTTAAAAATCACAAAATGTTGTAAATAACTTTTAAAAAATGATTTATGTTCGTTGTTTAAACTACATGAAAGACTACATTTTAGCAATGAGCTCCATACACAAAATAAGAAAATTGGAATTTAAGGCTTAGTGACATAATATTGGCTTCAAATCTTAGAACTATGCACTCCAAGATATTCAAGTTTGGTGTCCACAGATAGTGACACAAACTGTCTTCCTTACATAAATGTAACAGAACTTCATTCACAGAGAAAAGCTACCTTGCATACAAAAATATCTCACATACAATGCAATGTCCAAAGACCTTTAAGATACATGTGTGCATTGTTAATAAAACATATAGATAGCTTTCTAGATATTCCAATAAATTTTACTCTTCTACAAATAAATGGCCCTTTGCACTCATTAATGTTTCACTAAAAAAATGTAAAAAATAAAGCATAAAACTTTTCATTCCACAAACTGAAGTTACAGACTCAGTGAAATGTTTGTTTGAAAAAAAGCCAGCGTATATTACTAATTCCTTATGGGAATTAGTATATTACTAATTCGTTATGGGCCCCTATGTATGTTGGAGATTGGGTTATTGCTGTAGTAACCTAGAAAAAGCCTTAATCTGTGAGATTAAAAGTTATTTCATTTGCTTTATGTTTATTTCACAGAATTCAAAATATATGTGCATGATAAATTTAAGACTAAACTTTTTATTCAAGGAAAACAGTAAGAAAATCAAAGCTTCAAAATCAAATAATTTCAACAACAGTTACCCTCCAGATCTGATGATTTAAAGTATGACTTTATGAAATTTATTTGGACAGCAAATTTTCCAGTAGATTCTGTTCCAGTGTTAAACACAGAACAGGCTTTTTATTGCCAACTGGTACATCTCTGAAAGTAGTGCACATTATGCTGAAAACATGTAACAGGACAATTATAAAATATCATAGAGTACATTCAACACTGAGTACCTCACTGATACCAACACACGAAAGCATCGCCACTGTCACCAACCCCTCACTCCTGGCCCTGTACCCAGTTCTCAGGGGAAAACCTTTGAACCAGTATCAGGTGGTTAAAAAGAGGGAAAACACTGTCGCTTTAAAACTTAAGCAAAAGGCTATTTTGAACCTTCGGTGTGTAGTCTCATTAAGGCAAAGTTAACAGCTTCGTCCTCAACGTTAAACCCGAGTGACCATCACGTAAGTTAACTATTTCCCCATCCCCTGGAAGGCGACACCAGCACAAGCACTTAAAACCGAGGCAACACAACAGAGGAAGAAAAGATCCTAAGACAGCACCACTAAGAAAGCAGAGCCCTTCGGAAAAGCAAAACAGGCTGGGAAAGACCTACTGCGCTGTTTACTCATCGCGAAGAGGAGGAGCAGGAGTTGAGCGTGAGGGGGCCGGTGCCATCTTCAAGGCTCTGGAAATGTCTCCAGCTCTGGCCCGCGTGGCCTGGGGCCGACCCCGCTGGAAGACGCTGTCCCTGCCGCTTCTACCCCCCATCTCCCCAGTGCTCTGAGGGGCCGTCCCCAGCCGGCCCGACGGCCAGCGCCACAGACATGGCCCTCGCCTCTCTCGCTTTGCAAGTGGCCCTCGGAGAACTTACAGGGCCCCGCGGGCAGCCGGGTCCCCGGCCGGCGCCGCCCCCGGCGCAGACGCCGCCCGCCGCCGAGACGACCTGGGCGCAGCTGACCCAGGGGGGAGGGGAGAGGAGGGGACAGTATTTTGCACACGTCCAAAAAAAGACCCTAAGGCAGGGGACGGACTTTGGTCCTCCCTGGCTCCCCGCGCGCCTTTCCCCACCGCGGGCTCGGACACTGCCCAGAGACGCGCGCGCGCAAACACACACACACACACTCACACAGTCACACTCACACACATTTCTTTGCCAGGGCCAGTGTTGCCATTGCACACCCGGGAAACGCCTCCAAGGGGACCAAGTACCTGCTCTCTTCGAGCTGCTCAGCTGTTCACTTCATCCTCCGTTGACAAGGAAACCAAACCGCACTTCATTTTTTTTTTCCAGAAAAACCTTCCACTGCCATCATTTGAAAATTGATTTACAGGGAGGGGAGGGAGAGGAAGAAGGGATAATATAGATATAGATATCAGGATATCTATCATAAAATTATCTCGGTTTTTTTTTTTTAAAAAGTCAAATGTGCAAAAGTCATAGTTAATTTAAAGGAGGAAAAAAGTATTTTGCTTAAAAATGATCCCAGTAACCAGCTGCAAGAAAAGTTTCATGTTATCAATAGGCATCAAAAACAGGAGGGAAAAAAACGAATTTGTTCTCACCGGCTTCCAAAAAGGGCACAAAAAAATATAAAATTAATGTCTTTGCTCAGTGGTTTGCACCAGTATTGCAAGACCACAAACTTGTAAACACTGCCGTAAAATCCCACCTATACAAAAATGTTATCAGAAAAAAAAAAGAGTATGCAAAAAAAGAGTTAGAAACATGCTTTTTTTTTTATTATTTTTACAAAGGAAAAAATAGGCACCATACTTCATATCGCTTTTTCCATAAAACCAGTTGCATATTTTGCTGGACTTGGGAGACGCTCCCAGCGGGCACGGTCGCCGCGGACTCCCAGACACAGCGCCTTGTCTACAGAACGATCGCATGCTAGAAAAACTTGGATTCAGGAAAAGGCTCAAAACCATGCTCCTCCAGCTTTCCCAAATATAAACAATAATCAAAGAAGTGGAAAAAAAAGAAGAAGAAGAAGAAAAAAAACAAAAACAAAAAAAAAGGACAAAAAAAAAAAAGAATAGGACAAGAATGCCACTGAGAAGGTACTCACCGAGCGGGAGTAAAATGTTGGAATAAAAATGAGATTTAGTATAAAATACAGTATGGCGGTGGAAGAAGGAATGAAGCGCGTTTTTTTCTCTCAGTCTCTGCCTCAGGCACTGACACGTGACTCGGCGCCAGGCTGACTTGCAGGCGGCGGGGAAGGACCGCGGCTGCGAGGGGGGAAGCCCGCGGAGCCCAACTCCGGCTGACGAGGCGGCGGCGGCGGCGGTGGCGACGGGGAGCCCGGCGCCTGCGAGCGGCGACACCAGTGGCGGCAGCGGCAGCTCACCGCGAGGCTGCCTCCGCTGCGAGCCCGGACGAGCAGGTGCCCCTCACGCTGAGGCTGAGCACACGCACACGCACACGCAAGTCAGGCAGGGCGCCGGCGAGAGGGGGAGCCGCGCGGGGTTGGGCCCGAGGCGCGCAGCTGCCGCCGCCTCTGCCGCTGCCGCCGCGCTCACTGCCGCTGTCTCCGCTGCTGCAGCCGCGCCGCCGCCTCCGACGGGGGGCGTGTGTTCTCGGGGGCAGCCCGGGGGGTGGCGACCGGACGCCCGGCAGGAGGTGCACAACTTGCTGCTCACCTCAAAGTTGTCGCTTCCCACTTCCTTGTGTCTGCACCTATTTTCCACCTCAAGGTAGTTACCTGGGGAGGGATCCCGTCCTCTTCTCTCTCTCCCCCTCTCTCTCTCTCTATCTCTCTCTCTCTCTCTCTCTCTCGAAGTTTCACTATCCGAGCCCTGTTTAACTCATTTTTTTGTTTGTTTGTTTTAATTCTCCCATCTCCCACTTCCCATTCCTCATAAGCTGCTTTTGCCCCGACTGTTCCCTCCGCCCGGATCTGCGTTTCTCCCTCCCGGTTCTCTGGGAACCTGGCTCGGCGCGATGCTGGGGGCGTTGTCGCCGGCAAAGCCACAGTCAATCTTTACTGCCATTTGAACGCACAGCGCCTCTCTCGCCGTCTCCAAGGAAGGGAGGTTTGCAGTGTGAAAGACAAAACACTCTCTCTTATTTGGGGGGCCCCGTCCCGGGTTCCTTTCTGCGGGCTGCAGAGCGGCGGGAGGGGGGCGTGGGTGCCTTTAATGCATTCGTTCGTGGAGCAGGCATTGTTTGTTTTGTCTGCGTGCGCGCGCGTGCTTCCAGGCTCGTCTGGAAGGCTCCATACTACGCGGCAGAGACTCCTGCCTGACTCTTGCTCAAGTTGTTGACTGAGGCTGGGAGTCAGAGGACAGGTGCAAGGGAAACAAGTGAGTCCATTGTGTGAGTGCTCGCCGGGAGGGAGGGCGCGAGCTCTGGGCGGTCGAGAGGGGGAGACGTGCGCCAGCAGAGAGGCGGCCGCGCACCCCGTGGGAGCCCAGGTGGCTGAGCAGTGGCTTCTGAGGAAGGTGAGGGTGACAGAGGGATTTCTCCACCCAGCATCTGTTTCAGGATGCCTATCGCCTGAACAAAGATGCCATCAGCCAATCGCTGGATGCGTTGGGATTCTCCTATTGCTGCCTGTTGAAGAATCAGCTTTACTGGGCACTGGAACGCATCTATTTTTCTTCATTTTTGTACAATACTCACATCAGGACCATTTCCCTGTGCTGCCTTGAATCTGGGTTGTGTGTAATTAATCGACATCTCTCTGTTTGAGAATGAACAATTAACACAGTTCTGCAGTTCACAGATGCCTGCCCCTATCTTTATCTCAATGTTTCCGATGTTGACGTTTAAGATAAAATGCGTCCATCACAGATGATCTAACCTGGACACTTCTGAAAATTAAGTACACATCCATTACAGAGAGCTTCAATAGCAAATATGTTTCTCAAACATTCTGGTTACAATTCATTGGCCAAATAAAGTTTTAATCCACAATATAAATAAAGAGATTTCAAATAGCCATTAAAATATTATTAAATATTTATTTTGGTGAGTTGCCAACTGTACACCACTTATTACACATACTTTCCAGTGAGGACTCTTGATTAGAGATACTGACTGAGAGAGATGAATACATCAAAGTGGATTTGGTAATTTTGGAAGACTTGACTTCTATTCAGAAATCACAGGGTTTTATTTTAAGCTGACTAATACAAATCAAATACTGTGCTTTCATCATAAAACACGTTGGACCTCATTTTTCATCAATAAGATCTTTTAAAAAGTGGTCCTTTTCTTCCATGACTCCTGAATTAATTTTATCTAGCACTTAAGCCTAAGTTTGCTAAATTCTCCAATTTTCCTTTCCACGTCAAAATACATTTCATTCTAAACATTTAGGAAGAAAATGCTATTTTTATGCATATCTTTTTCTATTACTTATATCACTGTGGGATTCAAATGTAACAATCTTCACTTTAAAAATGAGTTTTGAACCTCTCAACCAGGCTGGACAATGTTTGGGTTTTAGAGAGTTATTCAAGAAGAACTTTGAAAAACAAGCTGTTTAGAATTACACTGCAGTAATGGCTGTCAGCCAATCACAGTGATTGTCAGGCTTTTATTATTCAATAAAATGACTCCCCTTTATGTTAAATGCAATTCTGCTGAAGAAAAGCAAGACATCAATATCCTCCCTGCACTTTTCCCATTTACTTACATAATTACATTACAGTACTCAAAATATTCTGCTACCATTTATTTCCAGTGTGCCATTCTCATCTTTTTAGGTTGCATCACCACATTATAAACAACAGTAAACAAAGTCAAGTTGAGGGTACTGGTACTTAGAAAGCATAGCCACTCATTTAATTATTGTAACAGCTTTATGACATTGATATTATACTCATTTTAAAGATTAGGAAAATAAAGTCAGAAATTTTAAGTAATTTGCATAAGATTCTAGTTTTAGTACATAGAAGAGACAGTACATAGAAGTATTATGTTGCCACTTAACAAAGGCATGCTTTTCTCAAATTCAGTAGATCTGAAATAAATTTGTGGAAATTAATTTAGCTATATTATTACCACAAATAGCAATTTAATACACATATTTGTTTTCACTTTTTTGATTCCATAAAACATGTGGAGAAGAAAATAAATGTTAAAAATGCAGAGGTGCCTTGCTTTATCTATTGATTCTTGCAAAGAAAAAAAAAGGAAAGAAAAGAAAAAAATGAAAAGGAGAATATACAGAGGTGAAGGGGTTAAGTTTTTCTCAGCAAAAAAATTCATACAAAAAATGTGGTCATGTCAGCCTCTGGAGTTAACTACAGAAACTTTTGAAAACAAAGTTTCAATTTTAAACTGCTTCTTTTTATATCCATTCTGAAGTAAGCCATGGAAAATTTATAATTGAAAAGTATACTAAATTTAAGATAAGACAAATAAATGATAATGAATGAGGAAAAAAGTCTATTTTGAAATCCATGCTACAAAATTTTAATTTTTTTCTTTAGAAAATATTGAAGGCATTTGAATTATAACTACACATATTTTACATATTAATACATACCTACTTAGAAATTGTGTTGTAATTCCATGGTTTAAATGCACACTTTTACATACAGTACCCTTTAATTATTTTCTTTCATTTTGCTTGATAATCTTTTTCGCAACCTAGTAATTTTTATTTTTGATTAATTTAAATTTTTTTCTTAATTATGTGTCCTATCCCTACCTATGAATACATTCTCTTAATCTTTGCTTTCAGATTTTGATGGTTTCTTGTATTTTTTCCAATAATTTTATTTGGAGAAAATTTAAATACCAAAACATATCAAATAATGTCTACAAATTATCAAAAAAGATCAAATAATATGAAAGTAAATATTATGAGTAAAATATGGCATGAGTCACAGAAGGCAGAAGAAAGCATTAACAAAATTCTGTGTAATTTAATTTTTAATATTTCCTACTTTACTCTTCACATAACATATTTCATGGAATCCAAAAAATTCAGTTACATAGAACAAAATATGTAGTATATCAAAATTTAGTATGATTTGTGTACACTCATATTTATTTCTATATCATAATAATAACATGAATCCATTGTTAAGAAAGTAAATTTAGAACAAATTAATACATCTACTAATATCATTACTTGAGTATGTTTACTTTGAATTAACTAGATTGAGTGTAGTTCAACGATAAAGTAACCGGCGAAAGCGACTTGAGTGTGTACACAAGAAAGAGCAGATGGGTTTCCTGATAAAAGTACTTGAGACATAGAGAAGAAAACGAACATGACATGTTCAGGGTTCTGAACCATTTGGAATTATTCTTTGATTGCTGATCTGAAAATCATCCATTCTAAAGAGAATATAAAATATGTCAGTTTATAAATTTATAAGATTTGAATTTATTCAAGATACTTCTTTAGAGTTTTAGAGTTAAAAATGAAAATGTGGCAATCCTGGAGTCAGAAACAGGTATATGAAAAGGTTCTAAAGGTTAAAAATGCTAATTTAAAAATATTCTAGGATGTATAAATATGAGCATATAAGAAGCCTGAAGGGAACAAAAAGAAAGGAGATTTAGGCGAAACAAAACAAAATGCAATTGAGAAACACCATAAAGGAAAAAAATATCTACCAGTTAGTAACTATTTATTGTGTTTTGATGCTTGACATATATAATGTCATACAATCCTCATAATCAGAAAATGAATTTCTGAAAGACTCCGCCCAAGGCCATCAGACTATTAAATGGGTCTGGGACATTGAAGAGGAGGGTGAGGGAGGAGGGGATGAACTGAAGAAAGGAAGACAGGAAGTTAAGGACAGGACAGAGAGAAGAAGGGAGAAAGTGAAAGTATAAGACCAAGAGTGGCCTGGAAAGTCTCCAAAACAATACTTGAGAAATGTATGACAAGTGCAAACACCGGACAGATTTGGGTCATACAGATGAGTCCTAAAAGACATGTGACAAAAGCATATTAAAAAAATATTGCAGACTTTACAATGTGTTTCTTTAGTGAGACTAAATGTTGCCTGAAAACTCCAGAAAACAATCTTGCTGAGGTTAACAAAATTCTAAACCAGAGGAAGCAATATTTTTAAAAAGAGAAAGGAAAACCACAAATAGCTATCTTTGTCTCTGTCTAAAAATCAAGAGATTTGTTTATCTGAATGACCAGATATTTCATTGTAAAATTAATTTTGTTTAAGGAGAAAGAATCTTGAAGACATAGAAGAGAAAACTAATATTTTACTGTGCATCCACAAGATTTTAAACTCAGAGGTATCAGGCTGCTACTTTATATACCATATTATGCATTCATCACTTGGTATTTCGGGGAATTGGCTGCAGGACCCTCTGCCCCCATATCAACATCCATGGAGGCTCAAGTCCCTTATGTCAAATGGCATGATATTTGCATATAACCTACGCACATCCTTCCTCATACTTTTAAATTATCTCTAGATTACTTATAATATCGAGGACAATGTAAATGCTGTGTAAATAGTTGTTGTACTATATTTTTTGTGTGTTTTTATTGTTGTATTGTTATTTTTTATTTTTTTCTATAAATATTTTTTATCTGCAGTTGGTTGAATCCACTAAGATTTGGAACCTGCTGACACAGAGAGCCAACTTTTGTTATGTAGTATATGATAGTTACTCTCCTGTTTTGTTTTTTCTTAGTTTGTCTACTTGTTTTAATTTTAAAAACTGTGTGTTTAGAGATGATATAGATTTCAAGTATGAATATTAATTCAATTAAACTCTGGAAATATTTTTTGCATTAAGGGTTATTCATTCATTGTTTATTTAATGATTATGGCTCAAGAGATTATAGATCAAGAGATGAGTACATGAGATCAGTTGGTTATTATCAAGTCTTGGGCTCCTGTCAAAAATTAAATGAGGCACTTCTCATTTCTATGAAATTTAGTAAATTATTTTTATTAATATAAATATTACAATTTGAAAACACAATTTGCTATGAATGAAATCGAGTTTTTCAAAGGCCAGATATAGTAGAATCATTTTATTATGGCAAATTATGTGGCAATATACTCTGCAAGTCTTTTATGATAGATCTGAACATATAAATAATCAATATTTGCTCATTTACATCTTTTGTACTAAAAAATGTGTGAATAGACATTTGGTAAAAAAAAAATAATTATAGGAAACAGTTGATTAAGTCTAAGTTGTAGTATGTACAGATCTGTATTCTCTAGTTCTTTTGTGGTCTGATTGAAACCACACATAGGTTGCTTTTATATAACTCTCTTGTTTTATATTCTTTATGTCCTCTGATATTCTCCACTGTCTTTTTACATTCTCCTAG